TGTGTATCCCGTGCGTGTTTCGTATGCATTCCGCACCTACTCCGTATCTATCCCGCACAAATTCCGTACATTTAACAGGAAGATTCCGTACATTTTTCCGTACCTATTCTGTAAAACAATACGGTTCATGGACTGTTTTTCCGTATGTTATTTTTATAGGGGGGATCTATGAACAAAATATTCTAACAAACGTTTTATTAATTATTTAATATTTTGTATAGGAGTGATCGAAGTAAGCATTAAGGACAAGGTCTATGAACAAAATATACTAACAAACGTTTTATCAATCATTCAATAGTTATGTTTATTATTTATTTATGTATATAATTTCTCTTTTATTTTAACTTATATTTAATAACATCACTATGATAAATAATTAAATGAATAAGTCAGAGATAAAACACCTTTTAATTTATCATTATTGTTGCTTGTTTATTATTTATATAAATTTTTCTTTTATTTTAACTTAAATTTAATAACATCACTATGATAAATAATTAAATGAATAAAGTCAGAGAGATAAAACACCTTTTAATTTAATCATCATCGTTGCTTGTTTATTATTCTAATCATTATTATGTATATAGGTAAAGAAAAATTTTAAAATCTATTATATTTACTTTTAAAATAAATGATTTTATTATAAAAGACATACCTAATTGATCAAAAATCTGTAAATATTCGTAATAATGTAATATTTGGACATTTATTTCTGCTCATACTTGCAATTGGACACGTCAAACAAAGTTTTACGCATATGAATATAAAGGCAAAATTTGACTTTGAGGGTCAGATTATTTTCGGTTTTATTAACGACCTGCCTTAAAAATTTTCTTAAAGCAGATAAATTTGATAAAGAAATTATATCTCAAATTTGGTGGTGGTTGCTACACAACAAGGGTATCAAACGAGGGTGTGAAGACATTCGATTATAAAATTTTACTATGTAAATTCGAATTTTACTATAGGTCGGTGTGAAATATCCTGTGACTGATATGTATGATGCTAAATTTCTTCATAACCGTTACTTACATATTATCATTTGTAATTTCTTTTCATGTATACCACTATCATCATCAATGCCATGATCAAGCTTACAAAGTAATAAAGAATAACAAAGATGATAAAATTTTTTGAAAAAAATAAGTTCGAGGTTTAAATTTTATGATATAATAATATATGATTGACATCATTACGTAATTATTACATTAATTAAACTAGAAAAAATATAATTCCATATAATTTTTTTGAATTTTTATAATAAATAAAATATGGATGGATCAACCACTCCAACTACTGATACCAATATTATCAATAACACTAGTAAGACTAGTAATTCATTTCAATCAGAAGAAGATAGATTAAAAATGGCAGAACAAGAAAGGGATCAAGTACAAGAACAAATGCTAATACGGAAACTAGAAGGACAACAACAACGGCAACATCATCACAATAATTTTCAACAAGGATATCATCATAATTATCAACAGCAACAAGGACAATATTCATCAGTTCAACAACAATCTCAATCAACGCATTCTCCAGCTACTAACTTCCCTTCAAATTCATCACATCCTTATGACTCGGTAACTCCACCACAGCAACAACCACCTTCATTCAATCAAAATATCAATCAAAAAGATTATAGAACATCAGTGCCACCACCACAATCTCAACCATCTGTTTATAATTATTTCGAAAGTATTTATTATTTTTTTTCTTAAATCACATGATTTTGTTATGGTCATTCATAATAATAAATCAAAATATATTTAATTTAGATCAAAAAACAATGATGAACAAATTAAATAACTTGGAAGAGCCATATGGTAATGTAATTATAATAATTATAATAATAAGGAATTTCTCATATATCTCATTAATAATTTTAATTTTTAATCAAGAAATGCAAATTGATGACAATAAAATGAAAACGGGTTCTGGTTTACTTAACTTTGAAACTATGTTAGAACTAGGAATTTATAACCCATCTTATAACAATCGTAGATAATCAAATAAATTTTCTGTATTTGCAGCTAAAGTTTTTTTTTGCTAATATTATTTACAAAATAAAAAAATCCACAATTTGAACTATTTGAACTTTTTTATGTTAATTTCAGCTGAAAATATATGTCAAATCCAAAAAAAAAATTATTTATTGTTGCAAGATAAATGATGAAAACAATAATAATGTTTTTTACGAATGTAAGGCTCTATAAACCAAGGAATTGTAAAAATTAAAATTGAATTCCAAATTATAAATTCCATAGATTTTTTATTATTGGTGATGAAGTTTATGATAATAGATTTTTTCTGATAATAAATTTTTTCCTCTATATTTTGAATAACAGTATGAGCAAATTTCCACATTACCATCAACAATCCATGAAACAAAAAAAATGTCAAATGTTCACCTTTTGAAGTACCAAATAACGAATAAAATATATATTCATGAAATATCCCACTACATAAAAAACTTGCAAATAATCCTAATACATTTCCAACAACCATATTCTTCTCTTTGCAATAATTTGGAAATAGTGATACTAAAAGATTTTTGATTGGATAATAGCCTAATTCTTTAAAACTTTCATTAAATATCTGATGCCACCTAAAGTCAATGTCAAATAGATATTATTAATAATTTAAAAAGGTTTAGAAAGTTAGAAGTTATATGTATGTATATGTTGTGTATGTGTATTTATGTGTATGTATACATACCTTTTACTCCATAAATCTTTTGGGTTTGATGATAACCATGGTTTATTAAATAATGGCTCTGATTCAAATAATGTCCTCCTCAACCAATTCCTAATCCTTGCCATTATTATTGTTGATTTTAATAGAAACCGTTGAAAGGAATTTAGAAAAAAAGAATATTTGCAATTTTTTTCAATGTTATTATTATTGGTAGTAGCATTTAATAATAACAACAACAATTTATTTGTGATTGGCAAAGAAATATTTTCCAAGATCCATAATGAGCCTGCTGATATTAAGAGAAGTTGTTCGTAAATAGAATTCATATTAATATATAGAAATATACTATAGCAGTAACAATATAATAGTATTGTTGATGAAGTAACAAATGGTGCAGATGCTGATAACGATATGTGATCTAATGTTTGATCCATAAGGAGCAGTTGTGGTGGTGGTGATGTCGATGCCAATTTAAATGATGCAATTATATAGTCCATTATTCTCAGAATGTATGGTCTATCAGGTATTGAGACGGTGAATGATTCCAAGAATATTAAGCAGACCTCTCGAATTAGAAACGTTTCTAGAAGACTAAATAATCTTGACAATAAATATGGTTTATGATTTATTTGTTCCTTTTTTTTAATCGAGTCACTAAAGTTGGTAGAGTTGATGATTTTATCATTAATGCAACTCAAATTATCGTAATTAGTGGTACTAAAGTTATCGGTTTTTCTCCAGTGAAATAATGTCCATATGAAAGGTTTGAAATCTTTTTCTATTTCTTCGTGCTTTTTTATTGTAGTTGCTGTTGATTTTTTCAACCATAACAACATTTTGAATGTTAAAGATGCTATTATAACAGGAATTGACAGATGGTTTTTACATGAAAAATTTGATCCAACAATTAAAGGTAACAAATAAATTGATGAAATCACCGATATTAATATAATTTTACGTATTATTGAAATTTTTGATGGTGAACTAAACGATGACAAGCATATAAATATTATCAGTAGGCTAATTAACATTATTATATATGTAGAAAATGTAAAATTTTTTGTTATTATTAACAAATTCATCTTGATTATTAAGGATATCGAGGGGTTTTCAAAAAAATAAATAAATATAACCTCATTTTTTTTTTAATATACAAGTGTTAGCGAAAAGATTTACATTATTCACATGTAGTAAGTGGCCTATTACTATTACAGTTAGAGCTGATGGATAGACAACGATTGTGGATTTAAGGAAAATACAAATTTGGAAAGAAATAAATAGCTTTGAACTGATGGGCGGTGATCATCATCGTAACAAAAATAATTTATTCTCCTTCGACAAATAACAATCATCATCATTCAAGATTGTTTATTAAAACAGCAAGATACATTAGACCATACTCATTTTTGGGAGGCTTATTTTTTAGTTAGACACGTGCACAGCTTTGTTGCTTTTGGGGCATACTTTTATAGAAAAAGAGGGTAATCTCACAATAAAAACCTTGTAACATTCAATATCCAAATTTCTTGTTTATAGTTTGTTTATGTACGGATACAACTAGTTATTATTATATAAAATAATTGATTTAAAAATGGTATTACTATTGTAAAAAGAATCTAAAAAATAAAACATATTATGGAGTATTGGGAAAGAGACAACCAATAGACAATGGACTTGTGATTATTATGTGCAAAACTCAAAATAATATTCGGTTTTTCTTTTACAATTGGAACCAATTATTCTTATGTTTAAGAGTTTTCAGGAGGAGGATAAGTTGATAAGTGAGTGGGTGAGTGGGTGACATGTATAACAAAATGGCCAAATTCACACAATATTGAATTTTCATTAGAAGTTTGTGGAAAATTATATTATTTTGTGTTTAATGCTACATCAAGTCAATGGTTTGTTCGGGAATCTGGAAAAACATGGTAATATAGACGTTATTGTGTGAATATTTAAAAAATTCGTATAAGCTTGAACAATATTTTCCCAAGTACTTATCTTTCTTTTTATGGAAATCATTTGCATGCGGTTTTTTCACACGGCTATATAGCAAAACGTTTATCCATTAATATTAAAATATGTCATTGTGCGTTCCAAGAAAAAGACACAGCAGCTATTTGAAAAAGATTAAACATGAAACAAAAAATCAAAGAGTTTTTACAATTGGATCTACAGAGCTTAAAATCTGTTAAAGAATGTGCAGAATCTTTTTTGGCTTGAAATTGATCCATAAACTATATACAAACAGAGTTTAATTAAATTAATAAATTTTTTGTTAGGATCAATAATGCTGGTATAATGGCAACATAAGTTAATTTATATTTTATTATTTTTTTTATTATTTTAATTAATTAATTAATATTTATTTTCTTTAATTGTTGATGGAATTCAAGATCAATTTAGAACCAATCATGTTGGGCATTTGTAAGTTTTGGTTTAACTATTATATTAGATTCACACAATATATATGCTAATTGTGCTTATTTTATAATTTTTCAAAATAAAATGTCTTACAAAATTACTTTTACCAACAATTGAAGCATCAGCTCCATCAAGAATAGTTAATGTTAGCAGGTCGATTATTTATTTAGATAGTCAATTATCAACATCCATATATTTATCCATTATATTAATATCATATTAAATAATAGTATGGCTCATAAACATGCACCTAAGGGTGAAATAGAATTTGATAAAATAAATGATCCAGATGCTCAAGCACCAAATAGTACATTATAGAATATCAAAACTTTCAAATATTTTATTTACAGTTGAATTAAATAAAAGGCTTGAAGGAAAACAAGTTTATGCCAATTCTTTACATCCAGGTAATAATAATTTTTTTCAAACAATTCATTCATTTTTTTAATTTATTTAATCAGGAATCATACTGAATTGCCAAGAGGTCCTATAGATAATTGGATGAGTATCCACATCATATTATTTACAAACATAGCATGGGCAATAGAAAGGGGTTCAACGTCAAAAATCATAATTTTGAGTTGATACCATATATATATGTAACTTGTCACAAGGAATAATTTTAGTTTAGAAGCTATACCCACTTAATAAATTTTCTGTTAGTTTTTTTAAAAAAATAGTAAACAAGAGATTGACAATAGAAATTACAAAGATCATGGTTTTGAGTTGACAGCATTTATATATGCAATTCATCACGAAAATTAATTTTAACTTAGTAACCATGCTGACTTTGAGATATTTTCCTTAGGATCAAGGTTAACCACAAGACCACAATTTTAAGGTTTGAACAAATAAAACTTTTTGTAAAATTGTGAAACTTAAATGAAACTTTGTATATATAGTCTCTAGGATTAAAGCTATTGAACAGTATGCTTTTAATAACTTTTGTTAATAAAGTTTTACTAAAAAGGTAAATGTGAAGTTCAACATACGTTACGAATTCTATAAGTAAAGTTACGAATTCTTCCTTATCCTCTACTATATTTTTTTGTTAAATTAAGGAAAACTAAATGAACAGTCTTCATGTTAATCTTAATAGTTATCGATTTATAAAAAAAATTTAGAATTTTATAAAAGACAATTGTACTAATAATATTTCATTTTTATATTATATATATGTATGTATGTATGTATGTATGTATGTATGTATGTATGTATAGTAATAAATAGAAATGAACTACCTTGGCATGAATCATTACTAGCTCTTAATATCAACTACAAACTCTTTACATGAGCAAACAATTTAATAAGAACGTTCTTTTGTAATAGTGATATATTCAAATAGTTATATTTGTAATGTATTATTAATTTTTTAATTCACAATCATCCAATGATAAAATCAGATTGATGATTTATGGTTGAAGGTTGAGAATACCACCCACCCACTTGTTGGCTCTCATTCATTAATTCATTCGCCTAAGCTCAAGATCTTGTAAAAAAAGCTTGGACATGTCAAATATTTAAGTGGCTTATGTGATTTGTAAAACATAAAAGTATTACTTTATTATTAATTTGGCAACTATATATAAAAGCACTCATTAATTACTTCCTGAAATAGTAAAATATAATAGATCATGGAAAGTAATAAATTAGTAAAAATATCATCAAACTTGGAGAACTACAATGCTTGGCTGTTTCTGCTAAAGGGTATAAATAATTATCAACAGGTCAATGTAATATATATATTTTGTAATGACAAATTGTAATAACAAATGGTCATATATCTGAATAAATTATATTTGTTCTTATATTAAATGCATTAGGGCGTTGAATGTTAAATCATGTGCCGTATTTTTTGTTTCAAAATGATCGACACATTTTGCCTTCCATTTCTATATGATATTAATATATATGGCTCATAAATATGCACCTAAAGGTGGAATAGTCAAAACTTTCAAATATTTTATTTAACAGTTGAATTAAATAGAAGGAAAACAAGTTTATGGCAATTCTTTACATCCTGGTAATAATAATAACAACAATAATAATTTTTTTCAAACAAAACAACAATACAAAAAAATAATCCATTCATTTCTTTAATTTATTTAATTAGTAGCCATAAAACTAAATCGACAAGAACCATTATAGATACGTAGACAGTCACATTTTAGGTTTCGTATCATTTACACCTGATGAATAGGGGGGCATTGATTACATTGTATTGTGCAGCAAATCCCGAAGAACTTACATGGAAAATATTTTGTTCCTTTCATCAAACAATAATGCCAAAGATGTAGAACTGACCGACGATCCAGTGAATGAAAACTAAGAACATAAAATAGAACAAGCTTTAGAAAGGAAGGGATCAGTTAATTTTCATTCATTAATTAATCGGAAAAGTAAGAGTTCTTCATTTGTCAAAGAAATTAATGGTTTTGTTAACCAAAAAAAGTAATGGTTTATTGTTTGTTAAGATAATTGATCAAAAAAATCAATTGTTTGCTAATATCTCTTTCATTAATTGGTCAAAAAGGTAATAGTTCTTTAAAATACAACGATTTTACCTCGGTATAGACAATAATGCATTTTTGTCTTCATGAGAAAAAAAAAGGATATACCGTATATACTGGTTCTTTCCTATTCTTGTAAATAATAATAATTATTATTAAATTCATGTTAGTTTCAACATGGAAGAAGATGGCAGAGAAAATCAAGTACAAGATAAAAAACTAGCAAGAGAAAAAACGGAAGGTTATCAGGTGTCATTGAAAGCAGAAAGGTTTTACAAAATAAATTGATCTGCAAGTCTATTTTTACACAAAAAAATGAACATTTGCAATTTAACATCTCTTAAAAAATAGAAAATTCCTTCCCAAAAATCAAGTCTGATTTTCAACATCTCTTCAACATCAACATGCCATGTTGATATTGACTTCTCTCCTCTCTCCCGTCATGATAATATCATGATCATAGAGAGTATATATCACAATGCAACAAACTACGTGAAACTGCAAATTCCTTTTTATAGATAAAATTATCAAAAAGGCATTAAATCATTTCATTTTAAAAAAAAATCCAAAAAAATCAACAATTAACCCTGAAATAGAGATTAATGTTGCACCGGGTTGATTTCGTTGATTTCTTACTATTACGTTATCCGCAACCGTCAAATTTGATTAATATTAATTGCGGTTGCGGATATTTTTTCTTCCACTTGTGTGCAGTATATTTCCTTATATATAAAACTGGTAAAAATATAAAGGTTTTTCTCGTTTAAAAACATTAAATTAAATTAGCAATGTTTTTTACTAGTACCAAAAAATTTAAATTTGAAGACATTCCGGACTTAACTAACAAAGTAATTAATTATCAAATTGGGATATTTTAATTACTCGTCAACTCATTAATTAATTAATCATTATTGGTTTTATAGGTTGTGGTGGTAACTGGCGGCAACACGGGTATTGGGTACGTTACGTGTAGAGAGCTGGCAAGAAAAAATGCGCATGTATTTGTTTTAAGTCGTAGTATCGAAAGAGGCACAGCAGCTGTTGAAAAGATTAAACAAGAAACAAAAAATCAAAAAGTTGAGTTTTTACAATTGGATCTACAAAGTTTAAAATCTGTTAAAGAATGCGCTGAATCTTTTTTGGCTCGAAAATTACCTTTACATGTTTTGTAAGTAACAAATAAATTGATCCATAAACTATATACAAACAGAGTTTAATTAACTAATGATAATAAAAAATTTTTTAGGATCAATAATGCTGGTATAATGGCAACGTGAGTTAATCTATATTTTGTATTTTTATTATTTTTATTATTTTAATTAATTAATTAATATTTATGTATTTAATTTTCATGATAAAAGTAAATTTTCTTTAACTGTTGATGGAATTCAAGATCAATTTGGAACCAATCATGTTGGGCATTTTGTGAGTTTTGATTTAACTATTTGTATTAGATTCACATAATATATATGCTAATTGTGCTTATTTTATAATTTTTCAAAATAAAGTATCTTACAAAATTACTTTTACCAACAATTGAAGCATCAGCTCCATCAAGAATAGTTAATGTTAGCAGGTTGGTTATTTATTTAAATAATCAATTATCAGTATCCATATATTTATCCATTATATTAATTTCATATTAAATAATAATAGTATAGGTCATAAACTTGCTAAGAATGGAATAGAATTTGATAAAATAAATGATCCAAATGCTCATTCACCAATAGAACGCTATGGAGTATCAAAGCTTTCAAATATTTTATTTACAGTTGAATTAAATAAAAGGCTTGAAGGAAAACAAGTTTATGCCAATTCTTTACATCCAGGTAATAATAACTTTTTCAAACAAAATAACAAAATTGAAAAATAATTCATTCATTTTTTTTTAATTTATTTAATTAGGATCTATACATACTGAATTGTTCAGAGGTATTATAGATAATTGGGGTAGATGGGTAGTCCCATTTCTTAATCTTGTAAATTATGCACTCCTTACACCTGATGATGGGGCATTGACTACATTATATTGTGCAACAAGTCCTGAGATTGAAGAGAAGAACTTTCATGGAAAATATTTCATTCCATTTGGTGTAGAATCTCTGCCAGGTGATAATGGCAAAGACGAAGAACTGGCAAAAAAATTATGGCAATTTACTGATGATCTAGTGAATGAAAAACTAAAAGACATAAAATAGAAAATGAAATATGTATTTGTAATAAAATTAAAATAAATTTTAAACAATTTTGATTATTTACTATTCCGCAAAACTTCCAATAAAATTGCGGTTGGGGATATTTTTGTTGATTACTACACGGTTGGGAATAAAAATTGATTTTATTATTTACTTTATGCGCTTTGGGATAAATATTGAGATACATCATTTCCTGATGTTCTTACAAATTAAAAATACAGTGAGTGATAGTAGAAAATTATCCGAAAATTTGTAATTAATAGGATCACCATTGTGAAAATGGTATATATATAAACTGATAAATGTTTTTTTAATTTTCTTCTCGTTTAAAATATGGCAATGTTTTTTACTAATACCAAAAAATTTAAATTTGAAGACATTCCGGATTTAACTGGCAAAGTAATTAATTGATTAAATTGGATATTTTAATTACTGGTCGATTCATAATCATTGTTTTATAGGTTGCGGTGGTAACTGGTGGCAACACTGGTATTGGGTATGTCACATGTAGAGAGCTAGCAAGGAAAAATGCTCATGTATTTGTTCTAAGTCGTAGTATCGAAAGAGGTACAGCAGCTGTCGAAAAGATTAAACAAGAAACAGGAAATCAAAACGTAGTTTTTACAATTAGATCTACAAAGTTTAAAATCTGTTAAAGAATGTGCTCAATCTTTTTTGGCTCGAAAGCTACCTTTACATATTTTGTAAGTAATAAACTATATACAACAAATAGGGTTTAATTAATTAGACTAATGACGATGAATTTTTTATTAGGATCAATAATGCTGGTATAATGGCAACGTAAGTTAATCTATTACTATATTTTATTATTTTAATTAATTAATATTTATATATATTTAATTCATGATAAAAGTAAGTTTTCTTTAACTGTTGATGGAATTCAAGACCAATCATGTTGTGCATTTTGTAAGTTTTAACCTAATCCAATCTAGTCATTCACACCAATATATATGCTAATTGTGCTTATTTTATAATTTTTCAAAATAAAGTATCTTACAAAATTACTTTTACCAACAATTGAAGCATCAGCTCCATCAAGAATAGTTAATGTTAGCAGGTCGATTATTTATTTAGATAGTCAATTATCAACATCCATATATTTATCCATTATATTAATATCATATTAAATAATAGTATGGCTCATAAACATGCACCTAAGGGTGAAATAGAATTTGATAAAATAAATGATCCAGACGCTCAAGCACCAATAGAACGTTATAGAGTATCAAAACTTTCAAATATTTTATTTACAGTTGAATTAAATAAAAGACTTGAAGGAAAACAAGTTTATGCCAATTCTTTACATCCAGGTAATAATGATTTTTTCAAACAAAAAAACAATATAAAAAATAATAATTCGTTCATTTTTTTAATTATTTAATTAGGAGTCATAAATACTGAATTGTCAAGTGGTATTATAGATAATTGGGGTATATGGGTAGTTCCACTTGTTAAACTTTTGAGTTTCGTATTACTTACACCTGATGATGGAGCATTAACCTCGTTATATTGTGCAACAAGTCCCGAGATTGAAGAGAAGAACTTGCATGGAAAATTTTTTGTTCCATTTGGCGTAGAATCTCCACCAAACGATAATGGCAAAGATGAAGAACTGGCAAAAAAATTATGGAAATTTACTGATGATCTAGTGAATGAAAAACTAAAAGACATAAAATAGAAAATGAAATATGTATTTGTAATAAAATTAAAAATAAACAATTTTGATTGTAAAAGTATCTGCAACCACTAATTTGATAAATATGCCACCAGATAAAATTGCGGCTGCGGATATTTTTGTTGATATCTACATGGTTGGGAATAAGAATTGATTTTATTTTATACACCATCATTTGAAATTAAAGATGATTGGATCAGCAATGGATTTTTCCCACGGCTATTACCATATAGCAGAAAACATTTATCAAGATATAAATTTTATAATTAATTAAAATACAGGAATAGGCATAAAGATAGTAATGTAGTTATATAGTATCAATAATAGCAAATACTTGTCTGAAAAAAAATTATATAAAATTGTGCGAACGTTTTTTAATTTTCTTCTCGTTTTAAAATATTAAATTATAATAGAAATGTTTTTACTAAATAATTTAAATTTGAAGACATTTCATATTTAACCGGCAAAGTAATTAATTAATTACTATTATCAAATCGGAATTTTTAATTACTATTCAATTAATTCATCCATTAATTACCATTATTTGTCTTATAGGTTGTGGTGGTAACTGGTGACAACACGGGTATTGGGTATATTACGTGTAGAGAGCTGGCAAGAAAAAATCCGCATGTGTTTCTTCCAAGTCGTAGTATTGAAAAAGGCGTGACAGCAGCTGTTGAAAAAATTAAACGAGAAACAGGAAATCAAAACGTAGACTTTTTACATCCACAAATAGAATGTTATGAAGTATCAAAAATTTCAAATATTTTATTTATAATAATATTATTACTAAATATATAATTACAAGAATGTCAAGGCAACACGCCATTGAAAAAGAAACAATTTGATATGTGATGTTTGATTATAGGATGTTAAAGTACACATGCCACCTTGAAGACATTACAGTCATTCTCACGTGTTCCTTCTGTTCACAAGGCTAATATGGCTTGCCTCTCCCAATTATACAATGATGCAATTAAATTTCAGGGAGGGGTTGCTCTGCCCTGGAATTTATCAAGATTGCATCAATTGTCAAGGACACTTTTGATAATCTTCCCTCGCAGCACTTGATCAGAGAAGGCTGCTGATATGTTAGCTGAAAAGTCACCTAGAACAACCCTACCTCTAGGGTAAAGATGACTCTGTGACCAAGTCACAACTCTGGAGGAATATTAAGAGAATCTGCAACTTGTTTCAAACATAGGAAGTTGCAATTCAGAGTGGGGTTGGTGACCCTGAAGTTGGATTTGGGCTTTGATGTTAAGGAGGAAAGCTGTAAAATAAAATGTTTCAATAAATTAATCATTTTCTGTTTCTTTAATTTTTATTTGATCAACTAAATTTGTTATTTAAATGAGTATATGGTTGTAGGTAAGTAAGTGTGCCACCAACAAAACAGCAACTCGGGACCCAAAACTCTGAATTCAGGGAAGATCCAAAACAATAACCCAGGTTGCAACCTCCAAACATTGTCTATTTCATACTGTATGGTAGAACAAAGCTTTTATTTTTTATAATACAATGATCGTCAGAATTTGTCAAAAGAATCATAATATCTTATATTTAAAAAGACAATTCCTGATTGTATCATATATTTTAGTGTCACAAAAAACTGTTGAACATTTCAGTATGAAAGGGAACTATTGAACTTGAAACATTACACATATATCCATCCAATCACCTTCTCGGAGCTTGTTGCACAATATGAGATCAATGCTGTGTAATTTTTGTATAATGGCAATGCATTGTTTAATATTAATTAATGTATTGTGTGCCTTAAAAGAAAGACAAATTTGATTCGTACTAAGGCCAATTGAAACCATGAATTTTTCAGTAATAGCATATTTATCCAAAAATATATAAAATTGTACAAGCGTTTTTTTTATTTTAAAATATTAATTAAAAATAATGAAAAAATTTAAATTTGAAGACATTCCGGATTTAACTGGCAAAGTAATTAATTGATTAAAATTGGATATTTTTAATCACTCGCCAACTCATAATCATTGTTTTATAGGTTGTGGTGGTAACTGGTGGCAACACAGGTATTGGGTATGTCACATGTAGAGAGCTAGCAAGGAAAAATGCGCATGTATTTGTTCTAAGTCGTAGTATTGAAAGAGGCACAGCAGCTGTCGAAAAGATTAAACAAGAAACAGGAAATCAAAACGTAGAGCTTTTACAATTAGATCTACAAAGTTTAAAATCTGTTAAAGAATGTGCTCAATCTTTTTTGGCTCGAAAGCTACCTTTACATATTTTGTAAGTAATAATTTAATTGATCTATAAACTATAATGTTATATTACACTTAACTAATTAAATAAATTTTTTGATAGGATCAATAATGCTGGTATAATGGCAACGTAAGTTAATTTATATTTTATATATTTATTATTTTAATTAATTAATATTTATATATATTTAATGTTCATGATAAAAGTAAGTTTTCTTTAACTGTTGATGGAATTCAAGATCAATTTGGAACCAATCATGTTGGGCATTTTGTAAGTTTTAACCTAATCCAATCTAGTCATTTGTATTGGATTCACACCAATATATATGCTAATTGTGCTTATTTTATAATTTTTCAAAATAAAGTATCTTACAAAATTACTTTTACCAACAATTGAAGCATCAGCTCCATCAAGAATAGTTAATGTTAGCAGGTTGGTTATTTATTTAGATAGTCAATTATTAACATCCATATATTTATATTCATCCATTGTATTATTTCATATTTAATAATAGTATGGCTCATAAATATGCACCTAAGAATGGAATAGAATTTGATAAAATAAATGACCCAAATGCTCAAGCAACAATGGTACGTTATGGAACATCAAAACTTTCAAATATTTTGTTTACAGTTGAATTAAACAAAAGGCTTGAAGGAAAACAAGTTTATGCCAATTCTTTACATCCAGGTAATAATAATTTTTTTCAATCAAAATACAAAGATGAAAAAAAGAATTCATTCATTTTTCCAATTTATTTGATTAGGAATCATAAAGACTGAACTGTCAAGAGGTGCTATAGATAATTGGGGTAAATTGGCAATCCCATTTGTTAAACTTTTGAGTTTAGCATCACTTACACCTAATGATGGAGCATTGACCTCATTATATTGTGCAACAAGTCCTGAAATTGAGGAGAAGAACTTACGTGGAAAATATTTCATTCCATTTGGTGTGGAATCTTCACCAACCAATAATGGCAAAGATGAAGAACTGGCAAAAAAATTATGGCAATTTACTGATGATCTAGTGAATGAAAAACTAAAAGACATAAAATAGAAATAGATAAAATGAATTAATTTATGTTACGATTTATATACTATCTATGTAATTGGATGAAGAAAGGCCTCGTTAGTAAAAAATCTTGTTGTATAGAGAACTTTTCTGTTTTCCCAATTCTTTAAATATATTATTGATAATCAACCTATTCTATATATTTGAATGCCTTATTTATATTAAATCCGAATGATGAGTTTATTTTTATTATGCATGTTTTTTTAACAAAAGATTTAACTAATATTATGGATAAACAAAGGATATTTGTAAATTTGTTTCATCTGCTATACAACTTATTAAAAAAACTCATAATAGTACGTATTTATAAAAGAAAGGTGAAAAGAACCAATATTCCTATTCTAATACCCGTAATATTCGTAACATTCGTAACATTCGTAATAGCTGATAGCAATAGTAATACTTTCAAATATTCATAGTATATACTTCAAATGTAAATTTTATCAGCCGTTATGGTGTGTAACCAACGCAGATTTCTACAAATTTAGAAATCATCTGCAAAAAATTACTATATATGTATGAAGTTACACTCGCACATTCCTGGTTTGTCGTACTAATCAAATTTGGAAATTATCTGTAGATTTGGTGGATTTTTGCAGATATTTATATGTGGTTAAATCGGTCCTAAAAAGACTGATTAAGGACCAGTCTTTGGATCAGCATTCTCAGTCTTCGGTCCCAAATCTTGAGACTGAAAAGACTGGTCCTTAAAAAGGAAATAATGTAACGTATGCTATTCAAAAAGCTTATGAATAAAATTGTTTCCCACGCTAAAAAAAATTGTTAACAAACCTCAGAGTTCTGATAACCGAGTGGACAATTAAACTCTATTGTTTAATTTCCGACTACAAAAGTGTTTTTTATAAGAGAAACAAAGAATATATTTATTTATTATCATGTGTGAAATTATTTCGTCACGCGTAATTAATTTCGTAATTACGTATTTACAACCGTGTAACAATGATTTTCAATTGTTTTCAAAGTAGGGGGATGCTATCTTTTGGTACATATTACCATCACATGTATATTTATATTCTTTTTTGTAATGAAAAAAGACTGGTCTTTGAGACCGATCCAACACTAATTACGAGAGGACATTTTTTTCTATTGTTCATATTTCATACATATACTGTATACGCAAATGTTACTTGGAATCAATTATTATTTTTATTATTGACATTATTAATTAATTAGTGTAAAAATGATACAAGAGGGAAAATTAAACTGATAAAATTACATTATTAAACAACATATAAATAAATAATAATATAAAATACAAATTGTTTCTTTGATTCCATTAAATCAAAATCTCAAAAAAAATATACAAAAAAAATAGTTATATATAAAATATATATTATATATATATAAATAAATACTAATAATAATAACAATAATAATTTTTATTTAGTAGTAGGAGTTGAATTATTATGAAAAAGTCCTAATGGGACATCATCATCTTCATCACCAATTTGGGTATCGGTATTATTATGTTTATAAGGATTTAAGGTATCTGTACCAGAAGACCGAGGTCTTGATACTAATAAATTGTTCTTTAGACTATTTTTTGAAACTTGTGGAACTGATTGCCTTGAATTTGCCATTTTTAATGATTTTGGTTTCGAATTAAAAAATAACGATTTCCCTGGTTTAGGCGTTGGTGAAACTGATCTTCTATTACTACTACCATTGCTATTATTATTTTTATTTTTATTTTTGTTATTTAAATAATGATCTACATTATCATTATCATCATCATTATTAATATTATTAATATTATTATAATTATCATAATGATTGTCCACGTCCCCTATATCACTTCCTCCTACATTTCCTACGCCTGCTTCCGCTTCCTCGAGATATCCACCATCTGTACCATCAGATACATATGAGTCTCTAAAATGATGATATTGATTAGAAGGAGGTTGACGACCTTCGACATCTTCGTTTTCATCAATGGCATCATTATTACCATTGCCATTACCGTTGTTCACATCTGAATATTCATTTTCGTTGGTATAGGGTGATGATGAATATTGAACGGGCGACATTGGTGGAGTGATGAATTGTTGTGAAAACTGTAGCATATCATATTGTGGTGCTTTGTATGCTATCTCAGCATTACTACCACCACCTCGACGTCTCGCCTCGGCTGCAGCTTTTTTGTCTGCTTTTCTTCTTTTTCTTTCTCCAATCGACTTACCCATTTTACTTTTAGCCTTCAATGTTTCTTTTTGTGCATGTTGAACATTTGGGTTATTGTTTTCACCATGTTCCATTTGTTGTTTGTTAATCAATGACAAATACCAGAACATCATATTAGATATCAAGACTTGCTCGTGCAGTGGACGACGAGGATTTGCCAATTTAATATGTGACAATCGATAAATTGCGCGCTCGACATGAATTGGAAATCGATTATAATTGGTGTATTTTGTTTTTTTATTGTTGTTTACTATTGATTGCTGTTGCGTATTAGTATTATTGTTATTACTACTTGAGGATGTGTTTGATGATTGGTCCTCTGATGATTTTGATTTTTGGGATGACCATGAAAAGAACGAGGCAAGTGAAAGTTTAGATGTTTTTTCTTTAAGAACTGGTGGTGATGACGATGTTGATATAGTAGAAGAAGTAGTAGTAGTTGTTGTTGTTGTTGTTGTTGTTGTTGATGATGATGAAATTGCAATTGCTGATGTAGTTGATTTCGTTGTATCTTCGGTTTCTAATTTCTCGGATTTTTCAGATTTTTCAGATTTTAGTTTTTTAGATTTTTCTTTTAATGACAATATTGATGTTGATGTCGATGTTGTAGAATTTTCAATATGATCATTATTATTACTTTCTAATTTGTTTTTCTTTGATTTTTCTCTTACAACCGAAACATTATTATTATTATCAACAACACTAAGCATGCGATTGTCAATATCGGATTTTTCAACAAATTTATCGGATTTTTGCTTTTTATTTTTAGATTCGTCAGAATTAGATGACCAAGGTAAAAGGTAACTCCAGGCAGAAGATCTTTTCGTTGAGCTAGTAGATGTAACAGTAGCAATAGATGGTGAAGTTGTTGGAGAAGTCGTGGTAGATGATGATGATGGTGTAGAAGTTGTGGCGGCGGTGGTGGTGACGGCGGGTGTAGAAGTGGTTAATATGGGTGTAGTGGCCGCTGAAGAAGGAGAAGCTGATTCTGATAGTAATATAGGTGAAAGTGGAGATAGTGGGGATATAGGTGATATAGGTGATAATGATGTAGGTGAACTACTTGTTGAAGTTTTATTATTATTGCTAATAGTATTACTATTGTTGCTTGATGACGATGATTTTGATGTGACGCTATTTAATTTATTTGATAATGTATTAACGCGTAGTTTTAATTTTTCTGCCAAAGGTCTACGAGTTTCTGGTGTACGATTTTCTTGCGAAACACCAAGAGCATCAACTGGTAATGAATTTGATCTTTTATTCGATGAAAGCGATGGTAATGATGATGATAATTTGGTTTCGTCGTCTTTTAATGTGATTCTTATAGGTCCTGAACCATCTTTCACATCTATACAATCAAGTTCAATAATAGTCTCGTTTTTAATTGGTTCTGGTTCACTGTAGAACAGTTCTTCCTCTCCTTCTTCCTCCTCCTCGTAATCGTCTTCTTCCTCATAACCTTCCCCTTCCTCCTCGTAACCGCCATCCTCCTCTAGATTGTTATCCTTGTTGCTTAATCCTGTTAAAGAATCACCAATATCTTCAATAATTAAATTTTCAATTGATTGAGAAAGTTGTGATGGTGAATCTGTTACAGAAATTTTTGGAACATTTAATAAATCTGCATGTTGCTGAATATTATTACTACTGTTATTTTTATTGGAAGGAGAATGAGTTGACTTTGTTCTTCGATGATAAGAAAATCTTCTTGGATTTTGTTCACCGGCAACTGAATTTCTACGAAGTTTGGTACGGGCAGCACGTTTAAGAGCTGGCATCATTCTTGGTACTAGAATGGGCGAATCAACATCAGGTGAGGAGTGTCTGTCAAATATGTTTGGATCACTTGGATCAAAATTCGATCCCATCATATTTGGTATATTTAAACTTATACTTCTCCTTAGAAGATTCAGTTTGTTGGTTTCGCTTGCTGTGCTAATATTTCCATCATATGCTAATTCATACGATTCCAATTTAGACTTTGATAAATCTTTTAAATCTGTTGCAGATTTTTTGGATTTTAAAAGTGTCAATGATGGTTTTTTATCATTATTTTCATCTTTTTCATTATTACCATTATCATTACTATTCTTATGATCATCAATCTCATCAATTTCGTCATCTTCATCTGGAATATATTGTTTTGAAAGTGTAGATTTCCTTCTCCTTAAAGCCGCCGAACCAGAACTGAAACCTTCTTTTGCGTGAGTTTTTAACCATTTCATAAATTCATTGGGAGCAATTTCTGGATGTAAATGAGCAGGGACCCAAAATAAATGTGACGGATTCTCGGTTTCAATATGAAGTTCTTCAGTCATTGTTTCAGAACTCCCCAAATCATTGCCGCCACCATTATCGCTATTGTCATTATTACTAATGTTATTAATACTACTACTACTATTGTTATTAATGTTGTTATTATTATTAAGATAAATATTATCCTCCATACTAATTATTGATCTTCTCTTCAATGTTGTTTCTTTCAAATTTGAATTTTTCCTTTCTATATTATTAGGATTAAATTCAACGTTATTTTTATTTTTATTCCGTTTTTTATCTTTGCTATTTTTACTCTTAATTTTGCTTTTAATAATTACATTCTCTTCATATTTTTCAACACATTCATCCTCATCCTCACCATCCTCATCATCCTCACCACCACCATCCTCTTCACACTCATCAACCTCTTCATCTTCCTCATCTTCATCTTCTTCCTCATCTGATACTGTTATAATATTCGTCATCGTTATTGTTGGCAATGGTGATATTTGTGTAATTGTTGAAGTTGATATCGTTGATGTAGATGTAGATGTATCGTTTGTTATATTAGTATCATTTGTTTTATTTGTTTCGTTTGATGTGATAGAATCATTAGATTCAGTGGAATCAACAGAATCTGAAGATATCCTTTTATTGTTGTTGTTATCATCATTATTAGAGTGTTCTTGTTTTATCGTCGTTATTATTTTTATAGATGGCATTGATGTGGATTGCATTGATGTGGATTGAATTGATGTGGATTGAATTGATGTGGATTGAATTGATGATGATGAATCTTTAGAATTAGTAATAAGATTATTTTGATTATTTTCTAAAGTCACAGTATTTTTGGTATTATTTTTATTATTAATTGTTGATGATGGTGAATGAATACTAATGCCTTTGTCATTGTTGTTGTCAATGTTGCTGTTTTTGATGTTCTTATCAATATTAACATCAGTTATGTCGCTTGTTCCAAATACTGCATCTAAGTATTTTTTAGAAAATTCTATAAGGCTTTCTTCTGATTTTTCATTTTCATTTACCATATTATATATATGTGTGTGTGTGTGCGTGCGTGCGTTTTCTTTTTGAATAGAAGTAAAATATATGGTTGTTTAAAGTAAAAAGGTTACAAGTATTTATAGTCCTAATGATGTTAATAATAATATTTAGTGATTGCTTCTCTTTTTTGTAAAACAAGATTTAAATTTTCAAGATTAATTATATTTACTTTTGTAAAAATAATTTTTTAAATTTAATAGGAAAAGAACAAAAAATTATAAAAATTAAAAAAAATATTGTTTTTATTGTTGTCGTTGTTGTTTATTATGTATGTAAGAATTTTTTTTTTCATAATTGAAACATAAATTTGTGAAAAATTTTTTGTTACCTTTTTTAACTTTTTGGATTTTGGTATTCCATATCAAATTATAAACAATAATAAAATAAATTAATGTTATAAAGAATTATAAAGTCACATGAATATAGAAATTCATTACATAATTATAATTCTAATTTAAGACAATATGTACTACCACAACATATATCAAAAACGTTTCTCCCTTTTTTTTCCGCACTCCTTATATTAACTAACTAATACTATATTTCAATAATTCAATTACTGTAAATGTTTCATTAAATTATGAATGTTCACTATTTTGGTTGGTATTGCTCCCATAACCCAAAAAATTTTTTTGTAGTCCAGAATCCTGGTATTAATATACTACTAATTTAGTTTCCAAATATTAAAGAGTAGCAATATTGATAAATAAATAATACAAGTCATCAATAAAAAAATAATTGGTTGCAAGATCTTTGTGTTTTTTTTAAATTTTATTTTTTTCAAAAAGAAAAATGAATGTATAATAATAATAATGATGATAATTAATAATAGTGTATGGAGGGATCAACATCGGCAATTTTTTAGCCAAATATTTAATGTGGATCGATCTAACTTATTTTGTCATGCCCATCTTTTTGAATCGAGCAAGTTTGCTGTGTAGTTATAAATGTCTGTGCAATTAAATCAAGTGACCAACCCCTTCTAGTAAATTTAATAATAAATTTATATTTAATGATAAAAAAAAACTTTACACAAATGCTCCTTCCAGCAAAAAAACATATTTATATATTTATAAGCATATATAAAAATAAAATAAAAATAATAAAATTTTCTATAAATTCGAGACAAAAGAATCAAATAATTAATTTTACTAATATTAATATTATTATTGCAAATCATATATTATTATTATCAATTTTTTGTTATATCTCCTCCATATTACTATCATCATCGTCATCATCATCATCATCATCATCATCTGTATAAGATTCATCGTGGCTAAGGTCATCATCTGTAGAATTGTCATCTGTATTTGCCTCAACTACTTCTTTTGTAGCAAATCTACTCACATACTCTATTAATAGATTACAATAATATTTTTTTTAGTATATCATTAATGTATTAATTACTAATATCATGCAAATCTCTCAAAAATATATTTATCTCATATAATATGTAACATAGATCTCACCTTTTACCCTAGCTTCATATGTATGAGGTTCTCTCATTAACAAAGCAGCAGCTTCGCCATTAAGTGGATCAGTTGGGTTTGGATATCGTAAAAGTTGAGGAAGAAAAACTTCAAAAATATTAATCATATCAAACATTGGACTCCAAGTCTGATTGATAACATCAAGACAAACGGATCCGCTCCTATATACATAAATAAATAATAATAAATAAATAAATAAAAAATAAATTTTGATGATTGCTAAATATTAAGGAAAAAGAAAAAGAATTTAAAATTTAAAATTCTCTAGTTAATATTAAAATTAGTAATAATTACAGTTCATCAATATTTGGATGGAATATCTTATTCATAAATCCAATCGAAGGTGATTTAAATGGATATTGTTCAGGTAGTTCTACGTGAACTTTCCAAATTCCACCGGTAAATGGTGCTTCATAAATTAACAATACATTAGCGAATAATTAATGATTTGTTAATATTAGTATATATATTATATAATTAATTGATATACTTACTATCTTCTGGTCCATGAAATCTAACATAAAATTCTTGCATGTTATCATTAATAAGTGTCACTTCATAATCACTCATAAGACTTTAATTTTTCCCAAATATTATTATAAAAATCATTAGAATTTATTAAAATTTAAAAATTAATCATATATGTTTATAAACATAATTATTGTTAATTACTAATGGAGATATTTATAACATACAGTTTCATAACATCGGTTTCAATCCTTCTACGCGTCGAGGCCATTTTTTTCTCTCGCAATCTCAAAGGCTATTTCTACAAATAAAACTTTATCGATAAAATTATAAAACAGAACTTTATTTGTTCGCTTGGTCGATTTATTATTTAATGATTAGTAAACAGTTTGACAAAAGAAGAAGAAAGTGGGAAGTTGCTAGGCTCTGAAAGTTTTTAGAGATGTGGGGAAGCTAATGAAGAAAAAAATTTTTATTTTTTTGTTTAAAAAAAAAAAGTAACAATTATAAGTTATTTATAATCAAATTAGAATGACTCATCGAGTCACAGCATATGGTCACATGGTACAAATCATTCAATAATATTAACCTTCTTTCCCAACTTTTGACTCTCCTTCAGCTATTGGGTTACTTGCTGAACAATTTTTAAAATAAAAGTTCCACAATTATCTCATTTTTTTCCATATTTATAAATGATCTACAATTTTCATTGTAGATCACATCCTATTTCGCTAAAATTTATTGTCACATGAAAAAATTGGTCCAATAGAATTTCTACTTCCAATACTTCGCGTATTGATTTCCTCCCAAAAAATTATAATGTCATCAATTAAACCAATTGATTCAACTTCAATACATAAAATTTGTTCAGGTCAAGTAATTCTTGACTTAGCAATGGCTGCGAAAGAACTAGTTGAGAATAGTTTAGATGCAAAAGCAAAAACAATTGGTATTTTTTTCAAATTTTTTAACACAATTTAAAAAAAATATTAGATAATTTTTTGAATTTATACGCGTCTTTTTGATTTCTAGAAATAAGATTCAAGGAGTATGGTCTCCAATCTATAGAAGTAATAGATGATGGAACTGGAATACATGAACAAAATTATGAAAGTCTTGGTATTCAAAATAAGGATATTTTTATAAAAATTTATTTAGAGATTTTATATATTTATTATTGTCAATTATTATTTTCTATAGCACTTAAGCATCATACATCAAAACTTTCAAATTTTGAGGATTTGTTAGATATTGAATCTTTTGGTTTTCGGGGCGAGGCTTTAAGTTCATTGTGTGCTCTATCAAAACTTACAGTAACTACATGTACTGAAGAAAATGTCCCAACAGGAGCAAAATTAGAGTACGACTCTCATGGAAACCTAATCAGAAAATCTTCAATTGCTCGCCAGGTATTATTATTATTACCATTATTATTGCATTATTTTATAATTTAATATATATATATATCAGAACATGCGCACTTTTATTATATATATAATTTTAATTTACATTTTAATTATTGACTGGTTAAGTAAGAGAGGAACAAGTATAATGCTTCAAAATATATTTGAATTACTTCCTGTAAGATATCATGATTTCAAGAAAAATATAAAGCGTGAATTTGCAAAAACTTTAGTTTTGCTACAAGCTTATGCTTTAATCTGTGAAAATATTAGAATCATTTGCACAAACCAAGTCAAAAAGAGGTATATATTTGTATATATGTGTATATATATATGTTTATTAATTTATTAATTTATTTATCATTATCATTTAAGTGCAAGAACCAAATTACTAAGTACAAATGGGACAAATAATAACATTAAAGATAATATTATTAATTTATTTGGTTCAAAGTTATTTGATCATTTGATCACATTGGATTTGAAGATTTCATTTAATATCAATAACAAAAAAATAAATAAGATATCTTCTGGAAATTCAGAAAATCAAAAGTAACACTAAAAAAATTTACATTTTTAAAATCTCCATCAAGGTTTATAAAAATTGACTTGTTTAATAATTTTATTTACAGTGAAGATCTTAAATATATAAATATTTTTGGTTATATTTCTAAACCTATTAAAGGTTGTGGTCGTGGATCTAATGATAGACAATATTTTTACATTAATGGAAGACCTTGTAATTTACCAAAGGTATAGTATGATATAACTATGATGTATGAAATATAATTTACTAAAATCAAATATCTTTAGATTTCTAAAGCTTTCAATGAAATATACAAGAGCTTTTACACAAATCAATGCCCAGTTATAATTGCTGATTTCAAGCTTACAAAATGTGCAAATAAGATTTTTCTCACTTATTTATCATTCACAAAATATTTTATTATATCTAAATTAATTATATATATATATATACACTTATTATATAGTTTCATACGATGTTAATGTTAGTCCAGATAAAAGGACAATATTTATTCATGATGAAGATGAAATTATTGAGAGTTTAAAGGTATGGAAGAACATAATATATATATATATTATCTTGTTCATTATTTAAATTAATCATACTTTTTTTTTTGATATTAGAATGAAATGAATAAATTATTTGAACCATTTCGATCAACATTTACTTGCTTTAATGTTGGAAAAATAGAATTACCTAAGCATGATACTAATGAATCTGATGTTTTAGAAAATAATAACAATGCTGACATTAATAATAATGACACTCTAGATTATTCTTCTTTTTCTTCTTTTTCTAATAATAATAATGATGATGGTGATGATATTGTTATTACCAATATTGATGATACAGAGAATAATATAAGTGGGATTGTAGAAAAGGCTACTTTACATACAAAAAGGAGTAGTAGGAACTTTAATAGTGAACAAATGTCTATGTTAAATTTTGTTAAAATTGATAGTAATAATATGAGTAATAATAATCCAATCATGTTGACTAGTGAAGATGATGATGGTGATAATGATAATAAATTAGTTCAGCTACATGTACCAAAAAAGCAAAAAATTACCAAAGAATCAATATTTAGCAACAAAAATTGTTCAACCTTTTTTACTGAAAGATTTTCAAATAATTCTATGGATAAAAAACCAAAAGATGATGAGGATGATGATGGGGGTATATTTGAAAAGTGTTTGGAGGAAGCATCTTTGATAAATCTGGATGATGATGATGATGATAATGTTCAACAAAATTTTTTAATAGATTATTCACTAGATGTCAATGATGAAACAACATCTAATACCATTGACTTGGATCAAAACAAAGATGTTGATTCTGATTTACAAAATATTATCAGATGTGATTCTAATCTACAAAATGTTAGAAATAGTTCTAATAGACCAAAGATTAATGTTGACTTTAATTTTGAAACATTCAAATTGAAAAAAAAGAAAAATTTTATTTCAAATTATGAGTCAAAAGAAATTATTAATCAATCCAAAACTGATAATGAAAATTATTTAAAACATGCAGGAATTCTTGTTCGAGATAATGTAATTGCTGAACAAGTATTGGAAAAAGTTATAACAAAAAAGGATTTTTCATTGATGGAAATAATTGGACAATTTAACCGTGGATTTATTATTACTAAACTTTGGAATTCTGATGATGGCTTTGATTTATTTATTATTGATCAGCATGCATCTGATGAAAAATATAATTTTGAAACTTTACAACTTCACACTAAAATACAAACACAGCCACTAATAAGGTTCTCTTCTGATTAATTCTTTTGGTTAATGTTAACTATTATTAATATTAATCATCTACTGATTTGAATAGTCCAAGAGCACTTCAACTGACAGCAACTGAAGAATTAACAGCAACTGAAAATCTTGATATATTGCAATCTAATGGATTTGAATTACTAGTTGATTTAGATGCACCCCCAACTAATAGAGTGAAGTTAATAGCACAACCTATCATTAAGAATATGATCTTTGAAATTAAAGGTATAACAATATTTACTATTAATATTATGGAATAATAATGCTAATCAATTATTTATAATAATAATATTGCTGTTTTGTTTTTGAATAGATTTAGAAGAATTGATTCATATGCTGTCTGAAAATCCAAGAACATTAGTTAGATGTTCTAAAGCAAAAAAAATGTTTGCATCCAAAGCCTGTCATAAATCTGTCATGGTAGGTGATGCTCTCAACAAACAACAAATGACAAAGGTTTGGAATTTAATTCAGTACTGATTTGGGGTGGATAATTATTATTTCTAAAATAATTTATTTATTAATATTAATCACTTATTAAATAAATAAATAGATCGTGAAACATATGGGAGAAATTGAACAACCTTGGGTAATTACAAAATTATTTATTTAAATTCAACAAATTAGAATTAAAATCTTATGTAATTTTTATTATTACTATAATAATAACAAGAATTGTCCACATGGAAGACCAACTATGAGGCATCTTTTTGATATGTCAAAAATTCAACGTAGTAAACCCTATCATCTACTTTCTAGAAGTAATCAGGGTAGTCTTTACCATCTCTTCAAGAAATGTTGATTTCTGGCTCTAAACATTTGTAAAAAATATCCTTATAACAATAATTACATTTTCAAATCATTTCAATATAATTATTTACAGTGCAGATCATCTATACTCGAAAGTTAAAAAAAAATTTTATCAATGGATAAAAAGTTTATGATTAAAATTTTAACACCTTATTGGCCAATTGAATGCATTAAATGTATTCAAACTACATGGAAAGATTTATTGTATGCTGTAACTGTTTATCTTTTCTTTTTTAAGTAGTACCAACCTGAGTTAGATCAATCAATTAACCCTATTTGGTGATCCTATGGCGTATGGCACTTGCTGTACGTCATATAGTATATATTAGTGTTATGTAGTAGAAATGGGTTGATCACTTGACTCAAGCAGGTGACTTTTTGATGCAATTAATTAGGTTATATGAAAATCATATATATATAAAAAAAATTGAGATTTTGGGAATTGAGTCAAAGCCAAATTAATTTTGATAACATGTATAGTTGTAACTCTCATGTGTTCATATGTTTGCACCCTTAGAATGCACCTTTGCTATATAAAGTAATGTTTTTATTATTCATGTAACGCCACACAATGATTGCAATATAAATTATTTTTTGTTATACAATATGGTCTGCATCAAAAAATTATTCAAATTCCCCTGAAGTTGCATCTCAACAAATATTGAAAGATAGGTGAAGGCGAGTTTGCGCAATTGCAAAGCATAATTAAATAGGTTCAGATTCGTTTAACATAAAAAAATTTATATTGCCAATTTTTTGTAAAGCTAATTCATCTCTTTTTTTAAAACCTTCACAAAATTTTTGACAGAAAAAGTTTGGCATGAAATTTTTTTAATTATTATTCTAACGCAAAAATGTACATAATAATTATACAAAAACAATTATATTAGATTGTAACTTTAGTTCTAAAGATTTCGCATATAAAATTGCATGCTTCTATATTTTCTATAAATTTGTCAATTAAAAATAAAAGAAATCCGATTATTTTGAAAAAAAGTATTGGATCAGACAGCAATTATCCTATTTATATTCAATAGTACTCATTCTTTAGGCGTTTTGAAATTATGTTCAACAGTATGAAAGGGAATATCCACTTCTTGATGTATTTTTCCTTGATGAATGAGTATTTTCAGGCCAGTAATGTAAATAACGTGAAACATTTTGAAAGTTAGGCCTCAATCTTCGTGCAACACGTGCTTATAAGATGCTAGAGATCAGTGTTAGAAATTCAGGGTGCGGACGCAGTATGTTACATTAAAAATGTGGATCATTTTATGTGCAAATAAAAATATGTTTTGTAAATTTATTTTTGACTCAAACATATCCCTCCTAATTAAAATATCTCTAATTATACCTCTTTCAAATGCTAATGTAGAAAGAATATTTTCCCAAACAAAGTTGATTAAAGAATAAATTAAGGAACAAAATAAATCTTGATACATTAAATAATCATTTAATGATTTTATTAAATGGACCTGAAATTGAAACTTTAATTTTGAGAAAGCATGTGAATATTGAGAAGATAAAAAAAAATAGGAAGATTAATTCAAAGAACTATTTATTTCCATAATTTGTAACTTTATGAATTTGATCATATGTACACAAATTTTTTTATGCTTACGAGAGATCCGCTAAAGCGAAACTTATGATCAAATCATGTGATACAAATTAAATGTGTACAAAAAAATTTTTTGTTTAACAGATAATAATATAAGTGTCTTCGTTAAGAAATAGTAGCATAGTTAAAAATCTTGTGATTGGTTGATCAATATTTTTGTTTCACGTAATTGATAATCCAATAAAAATTAGCC